AAAAAAAAAAAAAAAGAATTGACATTCACTGATGCCTGTGTGACTACCTGATTCTGGCAATGTGCTACTGGAATTTTAGCTTCTTTTTTCCTTCTCAAATATCTGTAGGGAAAATATAATAGCATGTATTGCCTCTCCCAAAGTAACAGGAAGAAAACAGAATAGGAAGTGATGAGTCAAGATACTTTACTTTGAAATTCATGTCCTATGAGTGACATGAATGTAACTCTATGAGCACAGGTATGCTACAAATATCACATGGGAATTTGTTTTGGACCTTAGATATACAGAACTAGATAAATTCTAATGTCTTGCTTGTGATGCTTTCATAGGTCTATATGCATGAAACTCATTTTAATCTATTGATCACACATGAATTCACCAACTAACCTAAAGCTACAATATTACTCATGTTACATCTAGCTTTTTTTTATCTGTCTTTTCCCTGCTTCCTCACCTCACATATGTATCCTCGATTGTTTTTTGTTGTTGATATTGTTTTATCACATAGGAACACTTTTGCCTGTTTTCTTTTGGTTTTGACCCTTATCTAAGAGCTGCAAGTCTTGTGGGATTTTTGTTTTTGTTGTTCATGAAACATAAAGTAAAATTCCTCTACTTCTAGCATTGTTTGCAGCTCCTTTTCTTTGCTGTTCCATACTTGGTTTCATTGAGACCCTGTGGGAAGATCTCCAGTTACTCTTCCTTCCTTCCTAGAGATATCTGTTATCTGATGGCAGCCCACCAGTCACACTTAGGTTGAGCCTGGAGCACGTGGCCTTCAGGTCCTCAGGCTCTTATCACCTTATCCATCATTACCCCTCAGCTCTCAACTCCCATTTTCCCAAGTCCATCAGAGAATGGAGGCAGGTTTCTCACAGACATTATCTCTCTCCTCAAAATGTGAGAAAGAGGGAAAAATCAGGGGGAAGACACTACCAAACTTGTAAAGTCCTTGTCAACCGTGCCTCCTGGATCATGACATGGACTGTCTAGGATAGGTTGGAAAAGTACCTCATGGCAGCATTTGGTAACTTCTAGAATACACTAGGGTTCTCCTAGTAATTATGGGATGGCTTCTCAGCCACACAGAGCCACCATCACAGGATCTCTGTGACTACTTCTCTGGCAGAGTCATGCCGTTCATTTAAATTTGTCATTGAGTTAGGAAGGTAGACCTGCTTGGGCTGGTTTAAAGGATATATGGAATTTATTAAGAATGGCATTAGAAATTCTGGATCTCCTAATCACATGGCATCAAACCTTTGGGTTAGAAAGAATCAAACATCAATATTTTAAGAAGGAACATTCTTCTCATTTTTGTAATCTATTCCTCCTTTCTTTTGGAGCACCTTTGAACAAGGATAAATGATAGCTACCATAGCCTTCAAACAGAGAGCAAAACATCTTCCTTTAAAGGTTTTTGGCCTCTTCCCATGTGCCTTCATGTGTGTGTCTGAAGACAGTCTGAGGAGATCTAAAAGTCAACCCTATGGACCACTAACCTCCTCCCCAGCTCTATTCTTGTTTTCTCAATAAATCATTCTTTATGTTCTTTTTTCAGGTAATAGAGCATGAACATCCAGTAAATAAGATTTCTTTCATTGCTCGGGATGTGACAGACAGCCGGGCATTCGGTTACGTGTGTGGAGGAGAAGGCCAGCATCAGTTTTTTGCCATAAAAACTGGGCAACAGGTAAGCTCCAGGCCTTGATGTCAGCCTGGGGGACTATCCTTTGTGGAGAGTAGGAATGTCTGAAACTGAACTCCAAAACTCGCTGGAAACAATTGAATGTAGGAGAGTAAACTTTTTTTGAGGCAAGTCTCAAGTAGCTCAGGCTGGCCTTGAACTCACTGTATTGCCCAGGTAATCCTCCTGCCTCAGCCCCCAAAAAGCTAGGATTACAGGTGTGTACCACTGTGCCTGACAAGAGAGTAAAACTATGATTCAGAGAATAACAGTCTTTTATTTGTCTTCTTCTTCTTTTTTTTTTTTTTTTCTGGTGTTTTGAAGCATAGGTTTGCCTGTAGCCCAGGCTGGCCTCAAGCTCATGGTGATCCTCCTGCCTCAGCTTTCCAAGTGCTGGAATTATTATAGGCATATGCAGCCACTCCCAGCTTTAAAATATCTTTTTTAAATGTCATGAACTCCCAAATTGGTGTGTGGCACAAAGATGTAAGAATGAACTTTCTTATAAGGTCAGTGCTGATTTTAGAACAACAGTGAATCATTCCCAGAAACTATAAGGATCATTAAAAATAGTCTTGGTACCTCTTATTGTACCAAATACTTATTAACCCTTCTGCCCTTTATGTGTCTGAGGGTTGTAATGGCAGTGTGTGTGGAGAGGCGGGTAGCCCTATAAACCAGAGGAAGGAAGGAAGGAGTTTTAAGAGAAAAAAGAAATGAGTACTAAGGAGAACTAATGGAGACACAGAAGATGGTAATTAGAATTAAGTAAAATACTGATGATATTTTCTCTTGCCTTAGGCTGAGCCATTAGTCGTTGACCTTAAAGACCTTTTTCAAGTTATCTATAATGTAAAGAAAAAGGAAGAGGAAAAGAAAAAGGTAAGTACTACTTGACAGAGGCTCTGCTGCATCTGAACCATGTCAGGACCGTGCGTATAGTTACCCATACATAGGGCCTGTCTGGAGACAGCCTCTGAGGGTTCTTCAAAGTACAGAATCACCTGCTCTTCCCAGGAGGGCAGTGCTGCTCATTTCCATCCCTGCCTCTTATCTTTTCTCCCTAAAAGCTTTGCATCCGTTATAGGAACTTCAGAAAATCCAGGTCAAATCTAGTAATTCTATTCAAATCCAGTATCTATATGAAAAGGGGAAGGGAATGTACCGGTGGGTGAAATACACAAGGCTCTTGCCTTATGCATATGAGATTATACGTATATTTGTTCTTTAGTTTAGCCTTGTTTAACTACAAATACTTCATTGAAACTGTGTCTTTCTTTATAGGCTGAAGAAGCCAACAAAGCAGTCGAGGTAAAACCACGCTTTACTTCTTGCGATTGTGGGTGTGATGTGTGTGAGGTCTTGTTCTTGACCTGCCCAAGCACTGTTTCCTGCTGGCTGAGTGTTTATGGGCTCTCTGCTCATGGACGATGTATAGTGAAAAGATCGACACCAAAATTACAACTGCCTGATAAAGCAACTATGTTAGGAAAATACATTCTGGAGGGAAAACTCATCAGCTACCTTATTTTTAAAAATTTGTCATTTTTTTCAGAATGGAAGTGAGGCACTCATGACTCTTGATGAACAAGATAATAAACTGAAATTGGTATGTATGTGATATTTTATGATTCTTATTCACCTAAACATAGGCTCTACTTTCCGAAGATGTTGCTGATGCTAAATTTGTATTGAATATGTATGAAAATCCAATTGCGGCAAGTATTTTTCTAAACATCAGTGTAACATTTATGTCACTATACAAAATAATCTTGAAACTAATCCAAATATTTTTTAAGGGTGTAGACCCAGATGCATTTGTCTGGGGATCTGTCTACACCTCCTGACCCAAATAACTCAAAATCAAATCTGTATGAGTTAAGTGAAAATCCATTTGTGGGCTTTTTGTTTTGGCTTTGGTTTGGGTTTGGGTTTTTTGAGACAGGGTTTCGCTATGCAATTCAGACTGACTTTGAACTCACTGTGTAGCCTAGACTGGCCTCGAACTCATGGTGATCTTCCTGCCTTAGCTTACCAATGAAAATCCCTTAGTATAGGAAACTAAAAACTGCAACAATATACAAAGTAATCCTTATTAGTGGAGACATCTGAATCTAATCCAAATACTTTTTTAAGGGTGTTGACCAGATGGATTTGTTTGGGGACATGTCTACACCTCCTGACCTAAATAGTCCAACAGTAAGTGCTTGTTTTTAAATTTGCAATGTAATGGAAATGACATCTATCATTCAAAATTAGCCTTTAACCAGAAATCTTGAGCATCTCATTGAAATTTGGAAGGTGACTGCTGATTTTTCCACATAAAATGTAAGTGGCTGCTAGACTAAATGTAAATCTTAAATCACCAGGGGAACCTATCAGATATATTAATATTGCTTAGAGGTTAAATCTGAGCAATAGGTCAGGCAATGTGATCCTTCTTGATATTATGTGGGAGCAGGAGGAGAAGCTGAATAATAATTCTCTGCATAAGCCTACTTGAAGAAAGTATGATTGTTGCATGATTCATCATAAAGCTTACTGGACTCTTCAGTTTTCCCCCACTTTCTGTTGCAATTTAGCAATATAAACTTATTGTAAAGTAAAACTTCAACAAAAGGCTGTTATGTACAAGCAAAGCCTATCCTTTTCAGAAACTTGCTTGTTTTTAATAGATCATTACAGTATATCCAGACTTCTCAGTGTGAACTGATCTGTACCGAAACTGTGAAAATAGAGCAATGTTTTCTCCCTGGACAAGAAAGTAGTAGTTCAGCGAAAAACAAAACCCAAAAAACCTCATTTGCCCCAAAAAGAGGTCCAGATTCAAGACTAAAGCCCTGAGCTTCAGACCTTATAAAACAAGCCACAGATGAAAATATTCATGTAAGTTTGAATGACCTCTGGCATCTTGTATTATTTATTAACAACTTCTTGAGTTCCTGCTCTTGGCAAAGCCCCCCAGTAAGACATACGACATCAGTGCCATCATGGGATGCACTGTGTAGAAGGGAGACCAGCATTAAAACTCATCACAAAACCTATTAACTAATGCCAGGTACAGGACACTTAGCTGCTTTAGGGGGTCCTTAGGAAGGGAGTTTATAGACTTCAACATGAAGGATGAGAAAATGGTAACTACACAAACAGAGAATTAGTGTAGAAAATGAGGAAAATATTGTGAGGAGTCTCATGTTGGAAAATTATCAAGCAAGTCTACAAGAAGAAGGTCTCAAGAATTCGAACAGCAGGTTGGAGACTGGCCAAGATTCTTACTTCCCAGAGTACTTCAGAAAAAGTAGGTGTGTGAGACCTCACTGAAGAAACCATGGGCCTGCTGAGGGGGAGCAAAGGCTCCTGCAGTCTTCATGGCCCCTCTACGTGGGGACCACACCACTGGGAGCATCATGTAAGGCTCTGCAAAATGTGCAGGAAGAAACTGATTTAATGCTCGTTTAAAAACTGAGTCCTAACTTATTTGTTTATAGAACCTTTCTTTTTAAAAACAATTTTTTTTTCTGATAGGATCTTGCTCTGTAGTCCAGGCTGGCCTTGAACTCACTATGTAGCCCAGGCTGGCCTCCAGGTGATCCTCCTGCCTCAGCCTCCAAGTGCTGGGATCACAGGCATGTGCCACCATGCCTGGCTCTTCATTCTTTTTAATGTTTACTATCATTCAGAGGATAAACTTTTGTAATATACTAGATTAGATGACCCTGAAAGGTCTGTCCTTGTTGTGTGAGTTTTTGGGTTCCTAAACAACTCTGCCATCTCTTCCATTGATAGCCCCTTCTCAAGGGTAATTGATATTTGAGCAACCTAATTTCCAAGTACGATATTCAAAGGGATATACTGCAAGGGTGAAAGTGCCCAAGATATGAACTAGGATTCCAATGAAAGAGCCAATGAAGTCCTGTTCTTATGCTTTTGTTGACTTTAACTCAAAACAAGTGCTCTACAAGGTCTATAAGAAAGAAATCAAAATTAACTAGAGTTTATTAGTGGTTCCATTGACTGCAGTTTCCCCAAAATTGATAGACAGACTTTTATGCATTTCAAATAATCACACAATGCTCATGTTGTAAACTAAGTGGTATCCATTAGAACATGATTTTTTTTGAAAATCACTTGAGTATTATCCTTCTATAATGTTTCAGAGAGAGAGAGAGACATGCTCTTTAACATTAACAACTTGGCTACTTGAAAGCTTGGTTAGTATGAGAACAATGTAAGCCATGATCTACCATCAAGGAGATTAAATCTGATACAAAGGATGGGATCAGGTTAGAAAGTTCAAGTATCGTGTATATGGTTGTGTACACCCCATATGGTGCCTCCAGGTGGACACAGGTAAAGTTGAAATAGAAAAATAATTGGGAAAAGTCATTTGTAAAGAATCTGAATTTGAGTTGGATTTTTGAAATGTTGGCGAGGTCAGAATCAAACTGGGTCCTACCGTGGATCATTTTAAAAGCTGGCCTATAGAAGTTTAATACCTACATGGAATGGTAGGAAGCCACCAATGGCTTTAAGTAGAAAGGCCCTGGATTTGGCAAGCTAGAATGATTATGTGATCTGAACCAGCAAGAAAGGAGATGTGGAACTTAGGCTTTAATGCTCATCTTTGTGCATATACCTGATTGCCTGGATGTCCCCATTCTGGGATCTCCTTAAGAGCAGGGAGTGTATTTCACTTTCCTGTGTCCAGGGACTGTCTCTTAGGTGCTCAAAGGGTGTCCAAGGGAGTGGAGTGTGGACAGGCCAACAAAGCACTGCAAGGGTGGATGAGGAGTTTCCCACTCCCCAGCTGCAATCTCTGAGCTAGGCTCTTACTTAGCCTTGGACTAACAACAGCCCCGACCTGAGGAAAGCTTATACATTTTACTTATAGGGTGACGATTCAGAGGTGTAACTTTTGGCTCCTGTTTGGTGTCCTAAGAACTTCTGAAGTATTTGAAAAGGAGAACTCTGCCAGCTGTGAACACCCATCTGTTTTAACGTAGAGGTGGCTTATAAAGAAATAAATATCAAAATCACAAGCTTTGTAATACATTTTACCCGCCCTTTTGATTTTTAAAACATCTCTTCATTAAGAGATCTTCCAATCCATTTCTTTGATTAAAAATTTTTTAATTACAAGCTGTTTCTTGTGACAAATTCTTCTAATTATAAAGAGAAAATCTGACTTTTAAAAATTGTGTTTTTATACCTCATAGTAATGAAAGCCAAAACGTAGAATACCATTTAAATCTGATTTTTCTTTCTTTTCTTTGGCCAGAAAGTAGGAACTGAGCTTTCATTTTCTCTAAAAGTTAAGAAGACCTACTAGAGTCCTTCTGAACTTACAAATTTGAGAACTTAATATTCCCTTAAAGTTGTTTTTGTTCCAATGATCAAAAATTGAGTGCTGTGCTCAAATTAATGCTAGGTGTCTCTTCTAACTTCCACTCCAACTGGGCACTCTTTATTGTTTATAATCTTCGATTGCTAGCATAATTGAGTATTTAATGGATTAAAGTCAGAAAAAAGTCAGTATGAGACTTCTATCCCAGGGTGAATCATGATTAGTTAAGTCAGTAATTAGAATAAAAATGCATTAGATTTATCAAATTTTATGCGTTTATGCTGAAGAAAAAAATTATGTAACAATAGAGAAACCAAATAATTAAAATAATGGAAACAGAATTAGTGGAGTTAGGCATTTGGTTATGTCTTTCAGATTAGTACTTAAAACACATCTTTACCTTATACATAAATGGAAGTTATTAGTTGAATTAACACTCAATAGATAGGGATTACTTCCACTGCACAGGCAACTGTAAGCTATATTCTGAAAAATACATCTAAATACAAGAGGTTAATATGTGATAGATTAGATGAGACAAGAGTTCTAAATGTCATAGAAGGATATAGACAAAGAAGGATATATCCAAGGAAGAGACTAGGGTGGTGAGGATGAGACACCCAACTTGGGGAATATCTTCAACAAGACCCTTCAGCATTGAGAGAGACATACTGGAAAGCTGTGATGTAAAGGGAAATGATTTTTCCTCCAGGAGAAACATCTAGACCAATTACAGGGAAATGTATTTCAACTTTATCACAGTCAGAACTATAAAATATGAAAGCATTAGCCAATGAATTCACTCATTTAGAGAGGAGATGCTAAAGACTCGGAGTATGGAAGCTGGGCTAAGCTTCAGAAGTGATTTCTTATCTTAAGCTCAGCATACTTAGATAATCATTTAGAGTGACTCACAAATCAAAGGTGTGAATTAAAACAATGCTGATAGTGAAGGCAGTCATGATCTGTATGTGTGAACGAAGGTGAGCAGAGACAGGAAGTAAACAACAGTAAGATTTCACTTAATGAAGAGCCAACAAGATTGAGAAATAAGAGCACGTTGTGAGGGAGGGGGCGGGAGACCCAGTGCAGTACACAGCCAGTAAATGCTCTCTGGTTGGTGATGGGAGGAGACAACAGCCACCCAGTTTATAGAGACCAAATTCTAATGGGAATTTCAGTGATCCTAGTCACTTTATATAGTTTACTCATTTGAAGTCATAACATGGACTAACACTTTCTTCTTTTTTTTTTTCTTCCCAAATGTGATAGGAAAGCAAAGATATCCTGTTAGTGGATCTAAACTCTGAAATCGACACCAATCAGAATTCTTTAAGAGAAAATCCGTTCTTAACAAATGGCATCACCTCCTGCTCTCTTCCTCGACCAAAACCTCAGGCATCCTTCTTGCCTGAAAATGCCTTTTCTGCCAATCTCAACTTCTTTCCCACACCTAATCCTGACCCTTTCCGTGATGATCCTTTTGCACAGCCAGACCAATCGACACCCTCTTCGTTTGATTCTCTCAAACCTCCAGATCAGAAGAAAGAGAATTTGAGTAGTTTGTGTACTCCACTGAGTAATGGGCCCCAAAATGGTGATGTTGATTACTTTGGTCAGCAATTTGACCAAATCTCTAACCGGACTGGCAAACAGGAAGCTCAGACAGGCCCATGGCCCTTTTCAAGTACGCAAAGCCAGCCAGCAGTGAGAACTCAAAATGGGGTATCTGAAAGAGAACAGAATGGCTTCCATATCAAATCTTCCCCGAACCCTTTTGTGGGAAGCCCTCCCACAGGACTCTCTGTACCGAATGGCATAAAGCAGGACTTGGAAAACTCTGTCCAGTCCTCACCACATGACTCCATAGCTATTATCCCACCTCCACAAAGTACCAAACCCGGAAGAGGCAGAAGGACTGCTAAGGTGAATTGTCTTCTCCACATCTCCATTAGCAGAGTGCATGCTCGGTACCGAAGGGTGGTGTGATGCAAGCTCTTTGCACTGCTCTTATAGTTTCCATGTGGCTGTAAATAGAAAGTGGGATCAGGCACAGCTGTTCTGCAGGAACGCCTTCCTCTAGTGGTCATTCTTTCTAAGTTTCTCAGCAGTGTTTGTCACACCTGCTTTCCTTTTGCATGTCTTGTCGTTTACTACTAAACTAAACACAAGTTTTTCCATTTTTAATGCTGCTATGCTTCTCTGCCTCTGGTAAGTTTGATTGTCATGTTCTGGGGCGGGAGGGCAAGAGTTGCCATGACCCCTTTGGCCCCTCCCACACTAACTCACACGGTGCACACCCGTTGTATTGCACTAATGTCCATGGGGGTTGTGGTGTAACATTTTCAAGGTTATCTTCTCTTTTAAACATTGACTTATAACCCGTTTTCTTAAAAGAAACTTACAGATGTACTATTACCAGCTTCATTCAAATGCAGTTTCTATAGGTATCTTTTGAAAACTCTCATAGCAATATGCAGTTTTACCTAATCATTAACTGTATCTTTTCCATGTAGACTTATTTAGATCCAGTAGGATGGTCAAAATTGCTTAGAATACTTATTTGTAGTCACCTTTTCTTTCCCAGCCTCAAGCCTCGAATCAATCAGGACCACACTGATACAAATAAATGAATTAAATGAGATTTAATTTTTCAAGTCCTAGGTTATATCAGTCACTAAGTCCCAATAGCCCACCCATTGTAGCAGCCTTTATCTTTTATTCCTTCCCCTTTGGTCTCTTACATATTTCTTATTTACTTATTTTAGGCAGTTGTAGTTTATCAGTAACAGGAAAAAAAGTTTTCTTTTTGTGGATCTCAAGTTTGGGGTAGAGTAGGAACCAGATCCGGGCTGTGTTCACTGTTGCTGAGTGACTCTTCCCTCTCCCTCCCTGCCCTGTCAGTCTTCAGCAAATGACTTGCTTGCATCAGACATCTTTGCTCCTCCCGTCTCAGAACCTCCAGGCCAGACGTCACCCACAGGACAGTCTGCACCCCTGCAGACCAACCCTCTGGACCTCTTTAAAACAAGTGTCCCTACCCCAGTGGCGCCTCTTGCCAGTCTAGGTGAGTGCCTAGAGATTCGGTTGGGTACAACTCTGCTACTTTCATCCATAGACTCATGATCCACAGGGGACTCCATTTCCTATCCATAGTAGGTTCCTAGGTGTAAGACTGGAAATCCAAGGCAGCTCTTTTCTCACTTTTACTCCTGCACCACCCACCTCCATTTAATACTCTTGGCATGTGACAAGAAATCCATTTTCAGTATTGCAGGTACCAGAACCAGCTGGTAATGTCTTCTTGGGAGGTGGCTACAAGGGAATGTGAAGCCCGGTGCAGCTTCAGTGGTGAAAGGAGATGAGATCTTGTCTGTTCTCTGTGTTGGAAAAGTAATAACATGCATCCCTTCCATATCATTTGCCATACAGACTGGAGACCTTTTGAAATAGTATATGCCCCGAGTCGGGTATAAGTGAAGCCTGAAGTAAGTCGAAGCCATAGGATGAAAGTCTTAGGTTCTAGGCCCAGCTCTGTCTCTCAGCATTGATAAGTGTGGACCAGTCCTGCATCCCAGTCAGTCTTTAGTACTTCCTCCTTAGCAGTTCCTTGCCAATATTTTGCTAGCAGAGTGTCTCCATAGAGTTAGAAGATAAGTCCTTGAAACCTGGAATTGGAGGAAGCACAAAGATATGAGAAGAGTGGGAATTATGTCAGATACCTAGGATGTGCTGGGGCTCTCAGCTATAAAAGTGTCCTTAGCTACATCAGCCACTTTGCCCTTTGCTGCAGGATGATAGCAAAGGCCATGTATGAGGGCTGGTCCTGCTATTCTTTGTCCATAGCCTCCAGTTCTTTTTGATTCCATAGTACGGTTTTAAGAAGCCCCTACAGTTCTTGCTGTCCTGCTGGGGACTCTGTTTTTCTGCTTCTTGGCACCTCTACAAATTTGAAATAGACTCTGGCTTGGGAGATGGGGTACAATAGATAAAGAAGAACTCTCCTCTTTGCTAAAATTTGACCAGAAATCTTGGTTTTCTTTGCCTCCTGCAGTCAGTCACCAGGCTGCTGCTGCGGCTTCTTCTCCTTCTTCTCCTTCTCCTCCTTCTCTTCCTTCTTTTTCCCTCTGCTGTTTCCTGCAAAGGAAAATATTTTGGTTCTGCCACAATAAATCTATTTAATCATATCAGGGTGGTGGTTGAGTAGCACTGAACTGCCGAGTGGCTAAAATCCACGTGAGTATGAGAAGCTGTTCTGTTCCAGGTCTCTGCTTGGCATTTTCATGGAGAGTCTCTCCCTAAACATTTTGTGTCTCTTGGGTCTTCCCCTTTCTGGATGGGCTGTTTCCTACATCCCCAGTAGAGCAGGTTAGTGTCTTTCCTGCCCAGAAAGGCAGAAAACTTGCATGCAATCCCTGTGACAAGATCACATCCCAGAGCTTTGTAGTCTAATATCAATGCCCTGAAGGATTTTTACAGCCAATATTTAACAAGTCAGCCTGAAAATACAGCTGGACCCTATAACTGTTAATTTATTCAGACGAAGTGAAGCTTTTTGGCTAGGTGCCCCTGTTGAGGCCTTGGGGTATACAACTGCAGAATACTGATGATTCTTTTAAGTTTGGACATGGAACTCAAACTGAGCTCTACAGTATAGCCCCTGTCCACTAGCAGGGATCCTCAGCCAAGCCATGGAAGGTTGGAGGTCTGGCTTCCGCTAGACCAGCTGGGGGACAGTCTCCTCTGGAGACCTGGGGGTGGGGAGAGGGTGTCAGAGAAAGCTGAGCCCGTGTTTCCACGTAGCTTCAGAAGGCAATAAAATTAATGTTTTGTGCCCATACTGCCTTTTCCTTAGTCCTTGGCCCTACTTGTTCCAGCTGGGCTGTAAATGTCTTAGAAATACAACATGTGGAATGTGGTAGATGGCAATGAAGGCCAAAATTAGCATATACTGGGAAAGCCTTTCATTCCTGGAAAATACAATAATTTTCTCTTTTACAAACACTACTCGTACTGATATGATATATGACTAAAGCTATGAATTTTTCTAAGGAAAGCCAAACAATCCAAAGTGAAACCTGATAAAATTCTACCTTTGTGTGTGTATGTGTGTACATCTAACTGGTGAAAATTATTAGTGAGAGACCCTGGCTTCAGCTAATAAAATTTATTTTTTTATTAAGTTTATTGGTACATTTTAGGTATACATTATCATCACATTTATCATTGGGAATTTGTACCTGCCCATAATATATCTTGGTTCTTTTCTTTTTCCAATTCCTCTGCCCTTCCTTCCACCCCTCTACCCCCCCATTTACAAAAAACTTTGTTTCCACTTTTTCTTTCTTTTCACATTCAGCAAATAAAATTTAAATGAATTTGTTTTAAAACACTAACAATAGGGCCTCTATTATATTATAGATTCTAAGAGAAACTGTCCCCTGGTTTGTTATGAAGACATATATTCTTTAGTGCAAATGAAGGTTAATTTCTATATCTGTGACATTGAATTAACATATCATTTAGAAAAAAAAGTAGTCCAGTGCCTTGCTGTTAAGGAGACAAAATGGGAGAACGATGCTGGATTAGAAGCCAGTGTGCCTGAGTTTGTCTCTATAGGCATAGACCGTAACCTTCCCAATTTTAATTACATTCTTTATCTAGTTCCCTCACCTAACAACAAGCGTGTTAAGTAAGGTAGCCTTTTCTGAAACTTGCCGCTTGTGAGTACAAATGCATTCCCAGCCACGTGGCCAACATTCATGACAACAGAGGATTTAAGTTCTAAGAAGTTACAAGAAAGAATATTTGGCTAGATCAACCCCAACCACCATTTACTAAGTACTGCTCACACTAGGAGCAAAAGTAATCCCAACCCAAGATGGAAGGCCTCTTTTTAGTGGATTAGACATCAGAGAATACTGTACCCCCAACCGTAAAGCAAGTAAAGTAGATTTTGAGAGCAGAGTATCAGCATCATCCATAAAAAAGTATGAAGCTGAACTTAGGATTTTTGTGAGTATTAACAGTTTTAAGTGACCCATTAATACACTTGGAAGAGTAAGGCAGAAGATGCCCTATGTATTAGAAAAAGATGCAGAGAATAAGCCTCTCAAAAAAGGAAGGGAATTAGAGAGACCCGGAGTTTCATGATTTAACTGATTCTTAATGAACATGGCAAAGCTGCAGGGAATGGAGCCATTCACCCACCCAGATCACATGCCCTGCACAGTTTCTTGTTTCCTTTATTTTCTCCTCTCTTTCTCATTTAAATACTCTGTTCTAATTTTTGGCAAGGTTTAGTGAATGACACATGGCAAGAAGCACTTTTATTTGAAACAGCCCTCCTAGGATAACAGCCTTTCCTCCATTTTTGTATATAAAACTTAAAACTATCTTGGCATCAGCCAGATTTTATCTATATAGCTATGTCAATTTTGGCAGTGTTAAAAAGCAGGGAAACTTTGAAATGGTTCTTTGGGATGGAAGCATGTTGAGACCTTATGCTCATGCGCAATAGCTGGTTTCCATGTCTCCACGCGCAAGCCAGCTGCTAAATGGAAAGTCAGTGACTCACAGCATCCAATGGATTATCTTAATTACTTCATCCCCAGCATAGTTTATATATAGATATGTTCACATGACAGAGCAGTTCCTACTTTTTCCAGCCTCTGATCTAGTTGTTTGAGATACATCAGTTTTATTGTTTGTTGTTGTTATTGTTGTTAATGTTATATGTATGATAAAGACTCGGTTTTTCATGATTAGGCATTTATGGATTGTATTAACCTCCTGGTGAGGAAAGTCAAAAAGGTGTGGTACAAAGAACATGGGCCTTGCAATGCAACCAGCATTTGAATACTAGCTGTGGTATGTTAGCCAGTTAACTTTTGGAATGATGAACCTCTTAGAGCTTTTATTTCATGTCACCCTCAAGCCATAGTGAAGGCTATACAGATGCTCCATAAATGCTTCAGAGACTTATGCTTTCAAAAATTCCAGTGTCCACTTCAAGCTTGTCTCCTGATAAGTCCCTTCTCCTTCTTCCTTCAGGTGGTGTACCGGTGTCGCCCCCTCAAGCAGGACCATGGAACCCACCCATGGTCTTTAACCAGTCCACTCCGATGGTCCCGGGAGCCATGATAGGTGGCCAACCTGCAACTTTCAGCCAGCCAGCTGTTTTTGGTACTAGCCCAGCTGTTCAGTGTTGGAGCCAGCCTTCGTCCTTTGTAGCCTCAACTTCCCCATCGCCTCCTGCAGTTTGGGGTTCTTCTGTATCTGTGACACCCAATTGTTGGTCAGCAACAAGCCCATTGGGGAACCCTTTCCAGAGCAATATTTTTCCTCCACCATCTTCTCTGTCCTCTTCCATGCTGCCCTCGCTCGTAGTCAGTCCTCCTCAGCCACCTCCCAGAGCTGCTCCAAAGGACATCCCCAGTGATGCCTTCACTGCCTTAGACCCTCTTGGGGATACAGAAGTCAAGGAAGTAAAAGAAATGTTTAAGGACTTCCAATTGCGGCAGCCACCTGCTTTGCCCTCGAGGAAGGGAGAACAGCCTTCTTCTGGGACTTCCAGTGCCTTTTCCAGTTATTTCAACAGCAAAGTTGGCATTCCCCAGGAGAATGTAGACCATGATGATTTTGATGCTAATCAACTGTTGAACAAGATCAACAAGATCAGCGGTGAGTTACTCACTTCTCTGCCTGCTGTGCCAACTGTTTCTGCTGTCATATGGGCCCAAGAGGTCCCTCAAAAGAGCCCTATCTTGTTCTCCAATAGTCTTACTCTTGCTTTCTTTGGTATTCAGTAGTAACGCAGGCAACATAACCATTTACCTTTCGAACTCAACTATTTATCTTAGCCAGTTTTAAAGATTGTTCCAATGCTGCCCTCTAGTGATAGTTATTGAAAGGGCTGCCAAGAGCTATTGAAATATGATGGATTGGAGGACTATGTAATAAAACTTCATCTATTTCCCATGACTTTAAGGGAGCTCTGAATTTCATCCACTTCAGACAAATACATGTGGCTTTTGCTTCTGAAATGGGATAGACTTGTTTATGGTAATCACTGAGCATCCTAGTATTTAGCGGTGATTTTTAGTCCACTGGTATAAATTTCAAAAGTAGACAACTAAGTTTCAAAGATAAGTTGAATGTGTGCTACAATTGAGGAAATCTCGTTTCCTGACTGCTTGGGATTTTGCTTTCTAGAACCACCAAAGCCAGCTCCCAGACAAGGTGCCCTGTCAGTTACCAAATCAACCAACAAAGCATTTGAGAACCCTTTCTCTAAAGATTCCTTCACCTCACCACAACCCTCTGTAAGTATCAACTCCTAGAAGCTGTTGCTCCAAAGTACATGACACATGGTGCTACATCTTCCTGAATTACCCTTGTGTGCATAATAACTTTTTGATGGTAACATCTGTTTTACTAAGATTTATTGGGAGAACCTTCACAGTATCAACATTCATTCAAACTAGACTAAGATTATTTGTACAGGAACTACTTTCTCCTGGATTAGAGAAATAATAGATAGAAGACACCACTCATCACTCCTCTCATCTAGCTTGTGAAAGCATTTTGAGAGAAAATTGAACCAAAATACTATCTTAAAAACCATTTAAAGATTTAAGTTCTTGATTTTCTACCCATGATTCTATAGGTCATAAAAATATTTCCTATTTGCAGAGGCAAAGATAAGTCATCTGAACCTTGATTTTTAGTAAATAGTATAAATCACCATCTATATAAACCAGTAGGCACAAATCATTGTAAATCCATTGGTTTGTTTATGACCTAAATGAATTTTAAAGGAATTTGAGTTCTGATTATGTTATTTTATGACTATAATTATATTTGTTGCCTGAATTATGTCTCCTTAGATGGCTTCTCCACAACCTGCATCTTCTGATGTATATAGGGATGCTTTTGGAAACCCTTTTGCCTAACTCTGTAAGTAGAAGATCCTATTAAGCTTATCTGAGGGGCAGGGGTGAGGGGGATGATACTGGTTAAGAGTGAGATTTTATTTTCAGAATTGGAAAGAAGGTAAATATCTGTAATTTAGCAGTCATAGAAATCTATACTGAGCTAATTTAACAATGGCTGAACATTAGTGAACAGAATTATTAAATACGTTAAGGTATGATGATATGGCCATGGGATAAGCTTGTGTTTTGATATTTCAATTCTGAATGGAAGTAAAACTCAATTCACCAGATATGTTTTGAGCTTTTAGCTTCTCATCCTTCATATTGAAGTGATTGCAAAGTGTTCTAATAGTAACTTGGTTTCCAGTAAAATGTTCCACTTCTGAGGCCCTTCTGAAGCCACCAAACAAGTCAACTAAATAGATCATGATCACAACTCCTCTGCCATGTATTTCTTTTTAAATCCTCTCAGTTAATCTGTGATATCAACTCTAAATTGGAGACAGCTGTACTGTCTCCTTTAGAAGTAGTCAAAGATCAAAATTAGTCAGAAGGCTGGTTCTTCTGCAGTGGGTTTCTTCCTAGATAAGCTCTTGGGTATAACCACTTGCAGCTCAACCCCTGCCAGGCCTTGATGGAACCTGTTCTTTTTCAACAGTACCAATGTGTTCCTGTTTCAAAAGATTGAAGTTAACAGGGAAAAGAAAGTATATTTCCATTTTGGAGAAGGTAGGGGCAGTCTCTAAGGGCAGAACAATGAAAAGAGTGAAAAGAATACCATCCCATTTTTCTTCAGTACCGCCTTGTTGAAGCATGGCCACTGAACTGTGCATTGACTCATCCATGAGTAAAATTATTTTAAATATATAATCTCAAATGTGACCTCTACAATAAGGTGGAGTTTATAGCAGCCTCTTAACCACAGAGGGTAAGTTCCAAGACTCCCAGTGGATACCTGGAACCTCGGATAATATGAACCCTCTCTGCACTGTTCTCCCCCACATGCACACCCGCGATAAAGTTTAATTGGTAAATTAGGTCCAGTAAGACATTAACAACAATAACCCATTAAATTAATAGATTGAATGGAGATAACTTGTGAAAGAAAACAGCTAACATTACTGAGCACTTGTGTTAATCACTTTATTATTTGTTCTACATTTATTGTCTTCAATGCCTCACTTTGGCCCTGGGAGATACTATTGTTGACATTGTTTAATAATGACTAGATATTCAACACATTTATATTCAGTCTAAAAATTCTAACCAGAAGTCTTTTCTTCTCCATCTTTCTGTAGGAACTTGGAATGCTGACTATCCAAGGAACGAAAAGGTTGGCCTTAGTCATCAAGGACAAAGCTAATAGCCAGACACGTCCTGACCACTGTCCTTGTTCCAGCTTCGACAAATTATCTGTTGCCTTATTTCTTTTTGCCTCTTCCACTTGTAAAATTTCTTTCACTTTCTGTCTATGCTAAAGCTAAAATGAATCGATGGCTTTAAGTAAACTAAGATCCTAAACTCTTTAGTTTAAATGTAAATGAAGTAGTTTGCCTACCAAATTCTTATCTATGTGTTCCTAGACCGTTTCCAAACACTACACCCTCTACTTTCTGGTTGGGTGATGCAGCCACCACCACCCCTTATATCATACTGTTTTGAGTAAAAGGCCAATTCCTTCCTGCTTAATCTGAGAGTTCTGTTTTAGAGCGTAAAATCTAAAATTCCAGTAGAACAAGACACTTTCTTAAAAGAACTTCCTTCCAACCATCACTTATAGAGAATTTTTTAAATAAAATGGAAATCCAACTTCTCCTCAGATAATTTGGAATGTAATACACCTGAGGACATTTTTAAAGATAGTTTCTCCTCTTACTGAAAATCATCTTCTCTCAAAGCTAAGATTGTCCTTTTGCTGACTTTCTAGCTATTGCAAATGAGGGGAAAACATTATGCATCTCTCTTTGCCTTTTTCCTCTGATTCTCTGTTCAGTCTGTTTTGTTCCTGGGTTCAGATTCCCCCCCGCCCCAAGGTTTTCTGTTTGTTTTTTTTGTTTTTACAAGCAAATGATTTTCATGGGATTAAAAAAACATCAAATGATTCACAGTCCTGGAGCCTGGCTTGCTCCTGAGTAAATGCTAGTCCCAGAAACTGCATATGTATACCGTATAACCTTCCACAGATGAGGTCACCACCCTCAAGCTGAAGTCCAGAAGAGCAGTGAATGTAGAAGAGAATTTGAGCTCCATTCAACAATGAAGGACCGTATACTACAGAGCAGCACATTATGAAGCTAAATGTGACTGTGCCCAACACACTGGTGCTTATGGGAGGGGGCATGTGAGGCCTTTACCAAGTAACTGGGAAACTTTCTGGAAGCCACAGTTTCATAGTAGGAAGATAAATGGGAGGGGAAAAGGTGAAGAAAAAGTATTTGGGGTTATCATCAAAAATCTAATGTCTGCAGTATTTTTTCCCCATAACCTTGGAAACTTTCCCGGTTCATTTTCAGTCCTATTGTTAGCACAGTTCTGAAGGGTTTGTTCTTGCCAAAATGAGTTTTGTTTTATGTGGGTTTTTAAAATGTTATCTCTTTACCCTTAATGGTCAGGTTCTTGTGGGTGTTAATCAACCACATCCAGTGTTCCCTTTCCAGGGACAAAAGAACCACTGCTCAGGATTTAAACAAGGTGGCCTTGAGAGCCTCTTGATTAGCTCCAGGTAGCCCAAGCTAAAGTCCTGTGGTTTTGTGTTTAATGGGAACAGTTGATTATATAATGCATAATTTTTCCATCTCGCTTCCTACTCAGTCATAAACAGAGACTTGAAATAGTACTTTAAAGGTCCAAATACCTAAAAGTGCTGAACTGGAGGCATCTATTTCTAGGTAGTTGAATTTTTAAAAGTGATGATCACCCAAGCAACTGTTTTGTACATACTTATTTTCTCTTGCACTTTTCTGTATGCAAATTAAAGCTATAAATTTACTCATTTCAATAAACTGGAATGGCAAAATCACATGTGTTACCACCAGTTTATTCTAATATTTGACCTTTTCTTTGAGTTGACCATTATGGAGCAAAGTCTACCAGTGTAAAGTAAGTAAATGTGAGTTATAGAACATTCCAGATTGTCATAAAGAAAAAGAGAAAGTGGAAATCCTTGAAATAGGAGCAGGAGCAGGTTACCATCCAGTCTCCTTCAATGCTGTATTCTCTTCATGCTTTCATTGCTGGTAGTTTAATGGAGCCCAGTGGGTAAGACCTGCATCTGAATAACCTCCCTCAGCCAATGCCTAACATAGAACCACTGATCAGCACCATACTGGTTCATGCCCCCTCCTCTGTGCCTCCTCCCCTTGGTCTTTATTCAGTCATGTTGGACCTCGCCAAGACTGCACAGGGGACCAGTCTATGCTACTGGTACCGGCCACTCGAGAGAGCTGCAGTGTGAGGTGGTCAGGTCAGTGGCAGGTGTTTTTAGTGTTAGACACTCCTAGAAACTGACCTGGTTGAAGAGTTCCAGCCTGTCATTCATTTCAAGGAGACTGAGAATTGGTTGGGGGTGTAGCTCAGTGATAGAGAATGTCCCTAGCATGTGCAAGGCCTTGAATTTGATTCCTAACACTGAAAAAGCAAACAGTAGCAACCGCAAACCCCTTGGAACTATGAGGAAGAGAATCCCAAGGCAGGCCTTGCTAGGATTTGGAAGTCTTGGTGTGGAAAACTTTCTCTAAGGAGTGACACACCTGTGAAAAAGCCATCTTTTGGTACATACAGTCATGGGTTTCCTGACATTGCTGTCTTCTTTTTCACCTTAACTAAGACAGTTGATCTTTTTCTGCAGCAGTGAGGTGCAGTATAGTGAAACAGATACTGCACAAAAGCAGCTACCAGAAGAACTGGAAACAAAGTTGCAGATGAGATGGAAAGGCTACTGATAAGAACATGCTGCACAAATTGGTTTACCAAAGTGCTCTGCAGTATGCCTAACTTATTAATAAGCCTGTGTGCTGATTCCTTGTGGCTTAATCTTCAGTGCCTTGCCAAGCTTAACTCACTATGGTCATTGTAACATTCATCTTTGTACAGTGCAGTAGGGGGGAGAGAGGCAGAGGGAGGTGCTTAGTAAAGTTGAATCAGCTCTGCACTCAATAGTGATGGTATTCATACCTCTGCTGGAAGTTCAGCACAGTGTGGGAACCCCATTAAGCTAAAAAGAGGGTTTCATGTAGACATTAAGTACTATCTATCTAAGCTATAACCTGAACTTTACAGCCAGGATGCTCCCAAATTTCTCACACAAAGCAATACAAAGGGAAGAAGTATTGATTTTCTGGAGATAGTCTTACATTTATGATGCACTGGACCATTTACTTTGTTCCGTTCAGACCATAACAACCCCATGTTACTTTGGCACTCAAGCTTCAGAGCAGCTGTGATAGGCTCCAGCTAAGGGAGAGTTTCTCGTTGGTTTTTTTGTAAAATTGTGTAGTAGTAGAGATTCTTTTAAACTGGTGATGTCAGACTCCTCCATCAAAGTGTTAACCATGGTGTTTAGAGAGCTAGGCAGTGTCTGTGTGTCCTTCCTGTGCTGAAGCAAGGAGGGGAAAAAGCAGTGCATGCAGCTAACTCAGGAGTTTGCTTGACCCCTGAATTACCTGATGAGTGAGGACACCGACCCACATGCTTGGAATAGTTTCAGTACAAAGTCAGTGACAGATGGGAACTGCCCCGAAAGTTCCTGGTAAATATTTAAGCAATTACTGTTTGAAGAGATTGCTAGATAATAAATCACCTAATTCTTGCTGGGAAATTATGTGTTTTTAACTAATTCCCTTCTCCTAAAAATAACTAAAATTCACCTTCTAAGTTGATCCACCAAACAAGGACAGGAACAAAGCTATGTACGAGCAACAACTCTGTTAACATGTCCTAATTACTGCAATGCTGATGATGGACCTCAGCCAGCCATTTGTCATCTCACCTAATGAGTGACCCAGTCCCTCATTTGCCCTTGCTTTGCTGGAATTATGCACTTAATTACTAAACCTCTACTTGCACTAAAATCATACAAGGGCTTGTTTCCAAGGAGACCACAGTGTGGGCTGCTCAGTGACCAAAGAAAATTATTATATTAAAAGAGAAAAAAACCCAAACTAAAAGTCTTCATGATTCTTTTTCTCATGATGTTGGTTGTGCAATTTTCTATCAATTCTCTCTTCATTTAGTTGACTTCAATTATTATTTAAGAGGAGAGAGAGAGAGAGAGGGAGAGAGAGAGAGAAATGCAGTTCCAAAAGTTAGAGAATAACTCAACTGGGCCAGAGCTGAGTCACAGACATTACAGGCATTTTTGGAATGTATCTCCTCAAAGTGCCTACTTACTCATCAACTAATTGATCATCATAGAATTTGGGGTCAGCTGAGATGAGAGTATTGGACACAGAAGCAAACAGAGAAGGAGGAGAATGGAAAGACTGACATGACACTTGCCTCCTTTTCCTTCCCTGGCCAGAGAGATTGGTTTAGGACCTTGATGGTGGGAAATGATAGGGCTGGAAGCTGCAGGGGCTGTCTTCCTTTGATAAAAGACCCTGGAGAGTTCTTATCCCATGTCTCCATTAGGAACAGAGAGAACAGTAACAGGAGGGCTCACAGTAGCTATAACTAGAAGATATCTTAGAGCTGCTCTAACATGAATACCATAGTGTGCATGGCTTAACAAACATTTCTCACAGTTCTGAAGGCTGCAGAATCCAAGACCAAGGCCTGCCTGGATCAGGTGTCTTTTGAATATTCCTTTTATGCTCTTCAGTCAGCCTTCTGGGGAAGAGACTAAGTGTCCCATTCTCTGCTTACAAAGACATTAATACCAATATGAGGGCACTACTTTTAGGGCCACATCTAAACCTCATTACCACACAAAGCCCCCACCTTCTAAGGTTGCAATGTTTAATTCTGGGGGAGAGACAAGCAGGTAGTCGGTCACAGTAGGGATTTACTCTTTTCACAAAAATGCCTGGGTCGGTGACTACTAGTGTTTGCTTAGCACCCCACCAAGGCCTATCTCTTATGTAGCTTTGCCCTCTACAGCTGTGACTTTCTATTCTCATATTTATTGTCCAATGGCCACAAAATGGCTACATACCTGCAGAATGATGCATGCTAAATGTAGGCAAAAAGGGGAAAGGAAGCACAATCCACGGCTGCTTCCTGCTGTAGGTACTTCAGTTTTCCCCAGTGACTCCTAGTAGACTTCAGCTATGCCATTTTGGCCAGAAATTTGGACACATGGCCACTCCTTGATGCAATGGAGGCTGAGTAATCAAGCTTTTAGCTTTATCTACTTCCAACAGTGAACATAAAGGTGGAGGTGGTGTAGGTCACAAAATTCATGGAGATCAGGGCAAAATAAAAATACAGCATGCGTCAATTTTTCCCAAAGCAGAAGAAAATGCCATTAAAAGCACTGAAATATTGAGATTTTTACTTTCTGCAATCTCTCCCTTGACTTGTCGTAATATACTTTATTTTCTATTTAGTATTGTGTGTTTTTCTTTCTTGAAGACATGATCTCACTATGCAGTTCAGACTGGCCTTAAACTCACAACTATCTACCTCAGCCTCCAGAATGCTGGGATTATAGGCATACACCACCATGCCCTGCTTAATGTTGCTCTAAGTAAAGTAAAATCTTAAATTATTAGTACACATTTTTCAATTGATTTTTAGGTCATATATAAAATTGTGAAAATGATACAACTGGTATTTCATAACCTGTATATGCGTATTTTAAAATACAAATTCCATTCTTACCTGAACAGTAGAAACTACACAAAACCAACTCAATTGCTTTCATTTCTCTCTTCTTCCCTCCTTCCTTCTTCTCTTTTTTCTTACTGCTCCATCCCCCTTCATTCCCCCTCCCAGTCTCCTCTTCCTTCTGTACTGGTGACTGAACCCAGGGCCTTCACACTGAGCAACATTCCCAACCCTTTTTATTTTTAGTTTTAAATTTTGAGACAACTTCTCACTAAGCTGCCCAGACTGAACTTGTGATCCTCCTGCTTCAGCTGCCCAGAATTCCAGGTGGGCACAGCAAAGCCGAGGTTCTATTTCACTTCTCAATACTTATACATTCTACCAATACTCCCTACCTTTAGCTTACTGATAAGTAAGAAGGACTGGAAAAATAAAAAGGGACCATGATCTGCCCTGTCTTTTCCTTTCCTTCTACGTCATTATTTTCAGCGTGACTGGATGGCCAAAGCAAGGAAGTAACACTAGAAAGAAATAGATGGTGTTTTGTGCATTTCTTCCTGTGTTGGAAGTGAGTTTCGGTTCCAGAGTGGCCTCTCACACTGTCAGGGTTTACTCCCAGCCACCTCCTACCCGTCTCTCTACTCAGCCAGGAACATAACCCGCTTGCACTCACTTTCACTCTGAGTCTCTGAGCTGACATACATGGTGGGGTCCCTCCTGATTCTGTGCTCCCGGGCAGCAGTAGTACAGAAGAGGGGTACATTGTGCCTATTTCCTGTATTCCTGGACATGCTCCATTTTCCCATTAGACCTTTCTTCCCAAACAGAAGTCCATACATAAAAGTATTGAGAACATCAAAGGGCAAGAGCAAGTCCAGAGCCAGCCACGAGCGCCTCCCCGGCTGGTTATTTCACCCCAAGTCAGAAGCCTCTAAACACAGATCACAGCTTTCTTCGGCCCCATAGCACCCTCAGGGCAGTACACAGGAGCACCTAAGGTGCTCAAAGCCAATTGTAGGGCACCTTGGCTAGAAGGTAGGAACTGCAGAATGCACGGCACTGGTTTCTGTGTTTTGGTATCAAGAAAATGACCAAAAATAATAAAAATCGGAAGGGAGCCTGGGAAGCAAAGTCACTGCATGAGAGGCTTTAATGTTAGCCTTATTTAAACTCAAAGAAATGTGCTACTTCAGTGGTAAGAATATCAGGAGGAGAACCATACAACTCCTGAGCTTCTCATTTGCTTGAGTGCTT